AAATATACTCAGAAGTACATTGAAAATTGTATGTTTGTGTTATTCTTCAGTCCGATTTTAGCGAAAAGCGTTCGCGACGCTTTTTTTAATTTGTTTCATATTTCACAAGTAGAATAATTATTCCGAAAGAATAGAGTACTAATGATCTGAAATTCTGTACATAACGTTGTTTGGTAATTTTAAATTGTATATTAAAACTGTATATTGTCTTTCGTATTATGTTTTAAAAAGATTTTGATACATTTAAAGTTGCCAGGAGGGAAAAAATGGAATAAGGTGTAAGTGTCTTACCGGTCTTGGGGAATGAAGGTCTTGAGAGATAAATTCTTTGATAAAATTTGAAGGGTTGAAATGGCCCGATTCTATGAAAATATTCTATTTAATCCAATTGTATGTTAGAGTAAAGTATCTTGTCGTCGTTGCTTTTCATGTACAAAATGATAATGATTATCATCTACTGGAAATTAGATTTGTTTAAACATTTTGCAGGTTACACTAGAGTAGAATTTTCTTGCCGCCTGCAATGGAAGGGATTGAAAAATCTACTTAAAATGGGCATTGAAGAATTCGTAGACAATCCATGCCATAGTGTAATGTCATAATGATCAGGAACAATCGATGTTTAATTGTACAGAATGTAATGCTGTAATATTTCCGGCACAAAAGCGTCACCTATTTGGGCCAATTCATTTGAAATCGGTAACCACGGAATGGACAGGTAATGATTTCCAAATATTTGTCTTAAATCAATATCAAAAATTAAATATTTCGGCTGGGGAAGGTGATTTAAAAAGTTTAACAAGCTTTGTTTTATTGTTTATACACAAACCTGTTCCCAAATTTGATAATGTTTGCCGTTTTCATCAGTCAGTATTTCTTTTTGCAAAGGTATCTTCTATGTGGAACATTTTACATTGCTGTTGTTTCATGCATAATTTAAAATTTCGATAGTTTTTTCATGTTAATTTTTGTATTATTCTGAGATAATTTTATATCATTGTTAAAAAGATAGTAGGAAACACTCTTTCCAATGTTATTCTGAAGCGTCTTCACTGAGGGATTTTGACATGACGAGACTGGACTTATTTTTTAAATTTATGTACCGATTAATGACTGGACCACTAATTTTTGTGATTAATTTTCAGATCATTCATTCACTCCGGTTTTCCAGGATAAATATTTTTAATTGTGCTTAAATCACCCAAAAACGAAAAGTTTATGGATACTTTTAATTCAAATTAAGCTAAGAATTGCAAAACAAACTCAAATCTCAAGTTAATTTTGAATATTAATATTTTTTGCATTTATGTTCATGTTCTGTTAATGCCATCCAAGTTGATCTATATAAGAAAATTAAATTTTATAATTTTTAAAAAGCGTTTAGACCTCAGTGGAGTTTCTTTTAACAATAATTACAATCTTCATTCATATGATAATATTATTGCATTAAAGTGGTGTTGTTTTGTATGTGTTAACATTATTCTTGCCTTTTTTTATTTACTTATCATGTAAATCTTTTTAGGTAACGAAACTTTGTTTCGATATACAGATGAAATTGATGAAAGTTGTAACGACCATCATGGTATTTATGAATTAATTTTGAGTTTAAATGTGTCATATGAATTACATCGTAATCATTATGTATTTAATATTACAAAACTAAATTAAAAATGCTTGCACATTGACCTTATAAATTGTGAATAACTTCTCGGATGCAACTAGGTTTTATCTAGTATTGTCTAAGTTAACATAATTTTTGTTATAATGAAGTTGTTAAAATTAACTGTACATTTGAAAGTTTACAATACATTTCTTATGAAATAACGACTACATAGTTATTTGTATTTAGAATGCAGATACGTATACTGCAGCTGATAAAATTTAAAATATTTCCTAGTCAACCTTTCTGTACTAATTTTGAACAAATATCTTGTTTACTTTACGTAATGGGTACGTTTTTGTTATAAGCTGGATACATTCATTTGTTAGAACTCCCAAATATATATGCATTAGAACATATGAACGTAATATTAACAAAGTATTGTTCAAACTAAAGGATGGAATATATAATAAATGTGTTTTTAATCCTTAACCAGTTAGAACCGAAAATGGTAAGGCTTTGTCATCAGTATATAGAACATCCGTGCAGTCTGCCATGGTTCGATATAGTTGGTAGCTCAATAATTTTGTTTTTGTATTGAAATCGCTAAAACTAAACAATGGACTGTCTGTAATAAAATCAGGGTAAATTATGTAATATCAACCGCTGGTGAAGGGTTAAAAAAAACATCATAATATTTACTTAAATCATATTCTTTATATTTAATATAAAATATTTATATTTTGGTGGCCATCTTGGACGCCATCTTAGATTTCTCAGTCCCCAAGCACTTTCGAGTAAAATAAAATTAAATTTCTTAATCCAAACATTTTTGTATAGGACATTCCCTTTTTATGATCAGGGACCAGCTTATCAAATTTGCAGTATTATAATAAATATCTCATCTCAATATAAACGACCTTTTTGGACATGCTTTTGAAACTTGAGTGATACTCATCGGCTTTTTAATGTTATGCACCAGGACGTTTAAACTGTCAGCAATTTCTTTCTTTTTTTGCTCTGATATTTTTTTCCGTATATATTTCTTTCAGGAGAGTTGCACTGATTCAAAAGGTGTTACAAAATGTGTAGGGATCGGTCGGTGTGATAAATACTTCTTAACAACAACTTAACAAGGTTTGTATAAATGGACTGATTTTTTTCATATACTGGCTAACCGAATTATTTTGTTCTAGTATTGTGACATTGTTTACATGTATAACTTTACACATCGTGGAATTTATGGCGATTGATGATTCTGGTGCATGCCATACAAACGTTCAGGCGAAGGAGATTTTGGTAACGGTCCAACTCGCGCAAACTCTTAGGTTAATTCCTCGACATATATTTTTCAAAAATTTGTTCGAAGTAAAATGAAACCAGCTGGTAACGATTAAGACAAAAATATAATGTAAGTAAAAGGTGAATTTTAGGTGAATACGAGTAACATGTTGCAATCTCCATTGCTACGATTTTCTAGGAACTCCACTGAGGTTTTATTTTGACTTGACGGGACTAGCAACCTTCTTTTTTTCGATATTTTTTTATTTAATTTGATATGGCTCTTTGCCAATTGCATGTGTGCGAAATTCCCTCAGTTTTTGCAGATTAATGAATTTATTTTAGGTAAATTGCCTTTAAAATAAAAAAGCATTTACACCTTTTAAATCAAATCGGGATAGATCACACTTAATATCTGTGTTTAAAAATGCATATTTCTTTTTTACCTTTAATATATTTTAAGTGCCCAGGTTGATATATGAGAGGTTTTTTTATTTTGTGTGTATGGGCTTTCGGAATTCGAACCTCAGTGGACTTCCTTTCGATGCTTGAAAAAAGAAACTAAATTCACGCTGGCTTCTTTTACAACCTTCACAATATTGTTTAATTGTTTAAATAGTGACACTTATACAAGATTATCTATTTTTCAAGATAATATTTTATTGTTGTTATTTAACAATTCTAGTGTCAATAGTTATCGAGGGTGGAATAGGAATATTTGATATTGTTGGATTCGATCAATCCTTAATAGTTATCAAACAAGTTCTACATGATGTGTATGGTTTATGCCAAGATGGAATGATAATACGAGCTACGGCACATGGTAAGATAGTTTGATAGTTTATACAGTGCTATTACATTTTATGCAAAATGTTTATGCAAAGAGAGAACGAATTTACAGCTAACGACACATAGCAAGAAAGTTTTTATTGATTAAACAGTGCATGCATAGAATTATAAAAGGTTGAATTAATTTATAAGAAAGTTTTACTAATTTAACAACATGTAATTGTTTATGCAAAGGTGGAATGAATTTAAAAGTAACGACATATTGTATGAAAGTCAGAACGGAATTTTATAATTTTGCAACTGTTTTACAATTAAATATCAACGAAAACATGACTAGCAAAGCTGAATCTGCTTTCCAGTATCTCATTTTCATGACGATAAACAGTTAAAACAGATAGACAGTTTTGATTTAATATTCCAATTCTGTCTTTCATGTCTTTTCTTTGTAAAATCTATGTCACTTTGCAGCGAAATCACATTGTTTTAAACGTATTGATTTGTCGCTTAAGCAAAATTGATTTATTTACTACTTTCATGAATCTAACATTACCTTTTAGTTGTTTGTTTAAAAGAAACGTTAAAGAACAAATTTAATTAGAAAAAAAATTGAAAATTTATAAAAATATTTTTCCATGCAAAAATTTAGAAATAGTAATACATATGATTAAACAAAGTAGGTAGGTCTGAAACCAAAAAAAACAAATTAAAGAAAACATCTATTTTTAATTTAAAAAATACTTATGAATAAAATAATCAAAATAAAGTTTCTGCAAATGTAATCTTTATGAAGGCAAATCTTATTTCCAGGACGATCGACTACCGCCTTGGATATAGAAATGGCCCCCTACCCTTTGAGAGCAAAGAATCTGCAAGAGCTGATACGTGTTGTTAACGAAGTAGGCTTTATAAAGGAATTTGGTTTTACTGTAGGGATACTCAAGGACTCACTTGTCATGAGATATCTAGATACTGGTAATATTTTAATTTATTTGCTAAATAAATGTATTTTATTTCTTACCCTACTTACTTTTAAAATCCTTAATTCTCAGGAAAAACAGTTTAATTTGTAAAGGTCGTTTCATTTTTATCTTTTTAGACATTTAAAGTGTAAGTGTTACCTGAACTTAATTTCAGTTAAGAATAAGTTATTAATAATGATTGAAACGAACTTTGCTAAGTTGCAAAATTTCAAAAAAGACAATGAAATTGCCTTTATCTGAAGACACCAAATCACAATCTGCTTTCAAAACAGTTTTTTAGCTCTTAAATCCAATTTCTTGTTACTTTACTACAAAACATCTGTTGCGATATGCACTAACATAAATGTATTATGATAGTTTTAATTAAGTTTGGCTAATTTCTTATGTATAAAAGGATTATTTTTGCATGTAGATGTTGCTTCGGTCTTTTAAGATGTACATTTGTCGGGCATTGTGTCTTTTATAGAGATCGCTAAATAGTACGTTGTGGATAATCTATGTTTAAACATCATGTGCTTCGAAACAAAATCCGTCCAATGTCAGCTTGAATAGTAATGATTGTTTTGAGGGTTGTGATTATCATTTTTCTTTTATCAGGGAGACCTCTACCGCGATTAATTGAATCAAGTTGCTTCGGATGCAAGAACGATATGGTAAAGTTTTCTATTTAATTATTATGAATGTTAATGATTTAGTTGTTTTGTTTAAAAATCTGGAAACGAAGTGATCCCTCGGAAGCATTAATCACAACAAAATTACATGAAAATTGCAGACACGGTTTGATTGAGTCTGTACATGAGGGATAATGAATATGTGCAGCATTGCTAACGCCCCTTGTAGCACTGGCTTGACACTTAATAGTGTAAAACACTCAGGAACAATTTAATAAATTTCACTTAAAGGAATAGAAAGCCTAATAATTCTTATACATGTTTTGTTTGTTTTTCGTTAGCTGTTTGTTATTTTCGGTATCATTTCACATATTTCTATTAGGTATTCATTGGTGATAAGCATTTGACTTGTTCTAGATCCATTATTTGAACATTAAACACTATACACACATATTCGTTTTTTTACTGACGGACAATACTTTTAACACTTTTGGAAAACAAACTCACTTAAATAGAGTTATGTTTCTTTTCTAGGTGTGGTGTTTGCTACCAGACATTTCACTGTGTCTCCTGAAGGCACAATGTATCGGTAAATAGCAAAATATTGAAATTTTGCATAATTGTTTTCAATGTAAAAGAATTTAGAAAGATTTGCAAAGTAAAAGTGCCCTTTAAAAATTTGGGTTTGATTTACAAAATTTCTTTTAGGGCTTTAAACCAAACGTTAAAAAGATTTAATTTAAGGGGAGAACACTAAAAACCCTGCATTGAAACTGGGGGGTCATAGGTTCAAACCATGGAGGACGTAGAAGGAACTCCACTGGGGCCGAAAACTCTTAAAACAGCAACAATATAATGTCATACATAAACCAATATGGGCACATACAACGAAAATATATTCAAAAGATAATTAAGAAACATACTTATTAAATTGTTTATCTTAATTATGCTATTCTTTAACCGATTTCAGTTCAATGCATTTAGATGCTTGTCATTTCGCGTTCACAAATTCGAATACTTATTCCAGAAAAACGGGTCAATTAAATGATCTGAAATTTTGAAAAATGATAATAAACTTGATTTAATAAATTTCAAGAAATCGTTTTTTAAAAACCTCGATTTGGATCCTTTAAAAGTATATTTAAAATTATACAAATGGAAATAAATGTACTTACTTCAGAAGTGCAAAAAAAATTTTACATTTTAAAAATGCTTTGTTTTTTGGCAAAATTGTTTTGGCAAATACAGAATTAAACTGTTCTTAGGGTCAAATATGTATTTAAAGTTTTTAAAACAATTATTTTGACAAAAAATTTTCATTACATTAAAGTCATTGTTTTATTTGAATATCTGTTCTGCCATTCTCATTTCAGGGCAAACGGTCACGTATCCTAGATTTGCAAACGACACTGATTTAGTACGTGTGAGTTTCCTTTTTGAAAGTGATGTTAATGACGTCGTCATAAACCACGAATTTATTAAGGACATAAGAGGGCAATTTGTTCGTCAACTTAATTGTTCGTTAGAGCACCTGGACAATATAAAAATGGTTTATTCAGGTAAGCACAAACCATACCCCTTCCTAAATTTTGAACAATTTATTGTTGTCATTTTCAATTCAAAGTACTTCATTCAGTGCAATACGGGTTGAAAGTGATATTTTGAACTTTGATTGTGTGTTCTTACTCGAATAAATATTACTTAATTAAAGAAATAGGTCAATGCAATGTTATTTGACAGTTATGTTTTCAAAATGATATAACCAGGACAGCTTGTTTTACTTGGTGCTCTTAAACATATTTAGAAAATGCAGCCATAGTACATGTATGTTTTTTCACCTTTCTTTCGTGCCATAACTTCTGAAGAAGCCAAAGATTTTGTTAAATACCTTGCCCTTTGGGCTCTGGCTTTAAATGCAGGCCAAGCTTTGCCAGATGATTAAGCACGAAATAAGTTGTATTTACACTCTTTTACTGTCTTACAGCCACAACAGGTTTGTATTCAAAACTTGTTGCGTTTATTAAACGCCGCCTTTCCTGGTTAATATTTTTTATCATATTTTCTTCTTGCATGGCAGCTAAAGTTTTACACATTTCTCACTACCCTTCATCATTTTCAAAATGATATTGTAATTGTTTGTCACCGTAACCAATCTTCTTTATCGTGCTTAAATAATGTTTTAGATTTCCACGTATATGAGATAAGACTGGACGTTTTTAAACAGACAGGGATGGAACCAGAGCAAGAATTTGATACCAGAGAAGCTATAACCGATCTCGAAAATCTTGTGTATCGACTACATGTATTAGCTGACACTGGAAAACTCAGCATTATTACCGAAAACGTAAACATGACGTCCATGATTCAAAGCGTGGTGTACAGACAATTAATCTCTGGCTATATGAAATCAGACAGAAAAACAAAACAGATTGTAGGCGACCGATTTGTCCTTTCAAGTCTTTTGCCATTAGGAGTAGTACTGTTCATTTTAGTTTGGTTAGTTGCCGTGGCAAAAGTTCATCAGCGTTACAGAAAAACGTTGAAAAGAATGTGACTGCAAATTTGAAGTTTTTTTTTTATAAAGTTTACATTCAACTTTGTTGATACGTAGAGGTTTTTTATAGGGAAAAGAACGTTGGAATGACTGTGAACGTAAATCTAAAAAAATATTTCATAAAGTTTACATTTAACTTACATGTGTTTTATAGAGAAACGTTGAAAAAATGTGAACGCAAATCTAAAGAAAATATTTTATGAAGTTTACATTAAACTTCATTGATACTTAGATGTGTTTTAAAGTAATTAATCTTACAGTATAGTATCCAAAACATTAAATATTTTTTTTGTTTTTATTGTCTATATTTTCCTTTCCTTTTTATCAATTATAAATTAACAAACTGTGTTGAATAAGGTTTTGACTTGACTGACTCGAAAAGCAATGATGCCGACTATGGCACAATAAATTTTTGAAGTATAAGAACCTATTTTATAAGATCAACAACCTATTTTATAAAACGTATCAACAGTCAGATGCAATGCTATATGAACACTTCCGGTTCTAAATGATTGATGAACCAAAACATGACTGTAGAGACTCATTTGTTTACAATGTAAGCTTGTGAACCGTACAAACACAATAATGAAGAACAAACATATATATTACATTGTAAACAAATGTGTGTCTATAGTTTAGTCATTTTTTGGTTTATCGATCATTTATAACCGGAGTTTATACCAAAAAGTGAAGTCTGGAGGCAAAATTGAAAATGTTTTCAGACAAGTTTGATTGGACCTGTTTATGGACGGTACTGCTAAGTGCAAGCTATCGACTATGCCATTTTGCATCGGCGTAAGAGGACTTAACATTTCTTCAAGCTCAAGTTTCTTTTCAGTACTTTAAAGGAACTCCACGAAGGTTAAAAGCATACAAAAGGAAATATTCTAGCATTGATTATGTGAAACACTTATAAACCTGCAAAAGATTAATTAAGAATTATACACAAAATTTAGACGAGTATGAATTTTTGTTGTGTAATTTTGGACAATAAAAATGATTATTCTGGAAAAATGAGGTGAGGGAAGGATTTTCAAACAAGATATTGGTCAAAACCTACACCAAATAGTACATAATTTCAGGCAAATATTTCCAGTTACACCATTTAAAAACAACCTAAGTGGAGTCCATTTGTGATATAATATTTATAACGATATGAATTTGCTTGTTTATAAAGTGATTTCTTATAATTGGAAACTTCTTTGTCCTGTTTAACATTGATGGTATACATGTTCTCTATCAAAAGTGTGTCAGTCTAATTTATTAACGCATCAATATGAAATCATCCCGTCAATTCCCATCAATAAATGACAAATAAACGCTCTTTCATTACAAATTCTATAATGATAAAAGATTGGGCTCTCACAATCTTTCTTTATGAAAGGGCAAACTTGTCCGTCATTTTTATAAAATATAAAGAACTGCTTTACCTCTAGAACATGTGATGAACGATCATGGACATAATTTTGTCATTGTAAAATAATTTGTATTGCTATGTGTTTTTACTTTAGCCATGCGTTTTTATTTGTTTGGGTCGTCAGACCAAACAAATAATGGTAGCGAAATTTCAGAGTCTAATGTTCTTAATTGCAAATGCCGAAAGTAGTCCACTTTTTTGAAGCGGTTACTTCCCTTTTGTATGTACACTAAAGCCGAAAAATTCAGGGGAGATCACTGCGTAAAGATGGTCAAAGACAGGCGCATCAATTTTCAAGCAAATTAATTCCCGAATGGTCGGAGATTTCTAATATTGTTTTCTGGTATTTTCTGATCGAAAATAACTAAATACAAAGCGGACATTCAATCTCTGACACAGAAGTTTATGACAAACCTAACAACAAGTAGTTCTCAAAACAGCTTAAAACTAGCGATTTAAAAGAAAGAAATATTTTATTTTGTTACAAGTATCCAACAAATTACAACGCATTTAAAGTTAAACAATAGCGTTGGCTTATAGAATTGTCAATAAATGCACAATCACAAATTACGCGGATGAATATGATTTTATCAATGAAAATACTATTTTTAGCCATGTAGATTACCGAATACTACACAAACCGAGTAGTGGAATATATAGATTCTACATGTCGGACTGTTTGGGCGAGAGGATTTTCGCTAAAATATTTACTTCAATTTTAAACAACAGGTTTACCCTGAACAAAATACCTCGAAATTAATAAGGATTACAAACCTGAATGCAATGGAAGTTCTAAATTTAGAATGACTTGATATTATTCAGACTGACTGTGTATAACTTCTCCGTTGTACAGTGGTAACGCGCTCGCTTAGTGAGTGAGAGGTCTCGAGTTCGAATCCCAGTCGAGGAATTTTTTTTTTTTGTTAAATTCCGTATGTGCCTTACAAAATGAATTATAATACATAAAAATAAACTTATACAGGAAAATGCATACAGATATACAGTACGATTTAGATTGCAAAGATCAGAAAATACCAAAGAACTTGAAGCCCTTTGATTCTTTATAAATATACATGCTTATAGTAAGCTTCAGGATTATTTACATCTGTGTTAAACAACAGTTAAAAGTCGTTACAAGCCCTAATTTAGAATAATATGGTTTTCTTCAGGCCGTTCACATATAAATTTAACCGTGGCTGAAGGGTTTTCGGGCTCGCTTAGGAAGCGAGAGGTCTGGAGTTCAAATCCCAGTAAAGGTAACTCATTTTTTTAAATTGTTAAAGTCAAATAAACATTGGATTGAATATCAGTGTTGCAATTAGTCTTATAGCCAATTTACTACAATTAAAACGCTGGAAAGCATTGGTGGCACTAAACATATAATCTCACAACCTGCACCTTTCTTACATTCTGAGACCCAAACAAATTCAGCGCCTTCTGTGCTTTGATTATAATAATCTACTCACTTTCTTTAATCACCACACGTTATAAGGCCAGTCCCGCCTTTACTACGGCTCATATATGCAGATTTTTGACAGCCTGTAAACTAATTTAAAAAAAAACCCGCTTTACTTTGAAATTATTATTATTAATCCAAAACAGAAAATAGTCCTTTCATGAGTACCATTATCCAAACCATTCATCATGTAAAGGAAATTTTCAAAATAAGTATTTACCGAATAGCATACTTTGATCGGATAGTACAGAGTTGCTAGCTGATCTAGGTTTACATTAGTCTCATAGGTATATTCAGATGCCGCAAGCAGGTTTAAGGTAATCATTGTCATTATTACAGGCCTTTTATGTTCATATTAAAGACAAATATTATGCATCATTTGAAATAATATTTGAACCACTATTTTAATATTCTAGAATAGCTTTTTATAAACAATATATACCACGTAAGAAATTCTTTACATGTTAGAGTTCAAGGCATGATTATATTTAGATACCGTGGCTGGTCAAACTAAACATCTGATATACAAAACATTAATTGTTATAATGAACTGCCCAGCTGGGCACCGAAAAACAGAATTCCGATACTCATACTGTTAAATGAAAATAACAATATGATTTCTAAATATGTTTATGAGAAAAACCATTACTCATTTTGATTGAATAGTCCTAGTAAATGATTTTACTTTAGTAATATACATACGAAATGTTAGGTTTTTGGGGAGGCTATGCCGACCCAATGTTAATAACCGTCCGTCAAATCTTACTGCCGCGGTAATCAGGTCAAAAAATAGTACCTTGATTTTTTCTAAGGTGACTCATCACTCATCACAGACATTTACAATATGAAAATATTTTCATTCTTTAATTTCATATCTGCAATTTGTAAAGATAATAATTATCTGAAAAATTCTTGATTTTTGTTTGTAATTTTTTAAAATCACTACTCCGTGACGTCATACTGCCGCGGTAATCAGGTTTAGGCATACGTACGTCTGTAATAAATAGTTCTGGTATGAAAACCCTTCTACATAATAACTTTATCAAAAAGTATTAACAAAAAGCATAAATGAAAATTTATAAGTAAATGCTTTAATTAGGTGGCAAATATTCTTTATTATTTTTTATAACAATTTTCCAATTACTACGCAGCGACCAACTGTTTATGACGGGTCAATAACTAGAACGTTGGAACACCGTAGTCTCAATATCATGCATGTTCTTTTGTTGATATAAACCATTAATAGTCCTTAATATTTTTTAAAGACAAATAATGGTAAATTGTCGCTTACATCAGAGACATGGATCGTGCTTGCGTGATAACTAAGGAAAACTAACTTATTAGTACACCCTAGGAGACTGTACGCGGAAAACGCTCATAAACCGCTATATCATATAGCTGTAAAGTGAACAGTTAAATGACAGAAATATGTGGTCAAATATGTTTTAACAAGGAAATAATTATTTCAGAGAAAGACGCAAAGATCAGTCTTCAATCAAATGAATGACCCCGTATTGTGTAATTAGAAAGCTTATTATTCAATTCTAGGGCAACGCATTATAATTTGATAGTCCATGTGTAATAAAATTCAAATTTTCAATACAGATTATGAGATACATAAAAAATATTAAAGAATAAGAAGCTTAAAAGAAACAAAAAAAAAAACAACAAAAAACGCATATACAGTTGACTCTCAATAAATCAAACTCGCTTTACTCAAAATTCCGCGTTAGTCGAAGAATTTCTAAAGTCCCGTCAAATTTCCTTCTTTATCTTTGTATTTTAACTCCGCTTAGGTCAAATTTTGACTTACCGAGACTCCTGTGTAGTCGAAAAGAAAATTTGGTCCCGTCAATTAACGTCCAACATATTTTCATCTCAATTAGTCGAAGTGTGAAAACAGCCGACTGATCAAAGGTCGGCGACATCAAGGTGAGATGTTGTAACTTGTGATTCACAAGTTTTATAGCTATTTTAATTGTCTGTTATCATGTATTATTAACATGTCGCAATAGTGGCTGTAATCGGTTTCAGGACTTAATTGTGTGTTATCATCATAAATGACATTTGTATAATTAATGTTCCGTCATATTGCATACATTAATATGTACTTCCGGTTAACGATAGTTGCTACTTTAATTTTCGTCCGATGATCACTTCACTTCAAATATTAAATAAATTGTTGTTGAAATAAATGTGTTATTGTGCTTTTATTGTAATGAGTTGTCATAAGTGCTTATTCAAAACATGTGCTTTAATGAATACTGACAAACTTGCATTGCAACGAATGTTTGTGTTTATGTTTCACTATTAATATACATGTATTAAATTTTGAATAATATTTTTTTGTTCATTTATAATTTGTA